GTTGTGAATGATTTTAGCTTCATTCAACTACTTTAGTGTAGCAAGGGTTTTGGGATGCCTCTTTAAAATACTATTTTCTGCCTGGACTGCTTCTTCATTTGGTATGTATTTTTTTCAAATGCAAGATATCTCTCTCTACAAGGCTTGTATTATACTATACTAACTAAAAATAAAGACTGCAGAGAAGACAAGCTGGAAAAGTTTAATAATGATTGCCAGCATGCCTAATGTCTTGCATATGTTTGCTTAGTTATTTTATATATATATGTAATATATATTATATAAGTATATATGCACATATATATGCATATATAATATGTATGTAATGCATATAATTTAAAAACCTTATTATCTAAAGTCTGTTCTTTTTTTTTTTTTTTGTGGCAGGTGAGATACTGCCAGTCTTTAAGTGAAGAAGAAAAGAAGGAGCTGCAGATGTTCAGTTCTCAGCGCAAGAAGGAGGCCCTTGGCAGAGGCACGATCAAACTGCTCTCCAGAGCTGTGATGCACGCGGTGTGCGAGCAGGTAACGTGCTACTAGTGCCCCAGGCGAACTGACTGGGTGAATAATTTAAGACTTCAATATCTTGATATTAAAAGTAGGTTTATGTTTGAGCTCTGAAAAGAAAATTAGAATATTCTTAAAGCTACACATAAATATAACGAAGGTAGTGCAAAACAAAACATAATTAGGAATGTACTGAATATGTGATGTATTTCCTACCAAAAAAAGCTGCTGTTGATTCTTATTAAAAAACACATATGAAAATCAGGCATACATGTAAAATTATTTCTGTGTATAAAATAAACTTCTATTCGTAAAAGGTTTGTTGATGCACAGAATTTGTCTGTTCCAAGATTAAGAATTAAGCATTTTTCTTTTCCTTTCGACCAAACTTTGGAATAAGAGCTGTTTACTGGGTCTGGTGCTTGGAACGTGGCGTAAGCGCGTGCCCGAGCCTGGTGGCCTGGGGTGGGAAGTGAGTTCTCCTTCTGGCTTTGCTCCTAGTGCGGCACCAAGGTAAACGGTGGGGAAGTCGCCGTCTTTGCCTCGAGAGCCGGACCTGGTGTGTGCTGGCACCCCTCGTGCTTCGTGTGCTACACGTGTAACGAGCTTCTTGTTGACCTAATCTACTTCTACCAAGATGGAAAAATTCACTGTGGCAGGCACCATGCTGAACTTCTTAAACCTCGGTGTTCAGCATGTGATGAGGTAAGTAACTTACTTGTCATGTCAGTCCACAAATCTATTATTGCTTAACTGACAAACCGCACTGCCTGCTTGGGCAGTGACTGGCTTCTCATGAATCCCCTTTTACAAGAAAGAGTCTGGTGCAGAGATATGTTTGAAAGCTATGTTTGAAGCTGAGGGTTGCTTCATTTCTTAATACCACAAGCAATGTGATTGTATTTAGAAAACACATACTTGCTCATAGCTATAATTGAATTTTGTACACTGAATTAGAAAAAGGATCTGTACAAATATGCCAGGATGCTCTCATAACTGCAGGCTTTTCAGTTGTTCAAGTTCTCATGTTCTTTAAAAAGTATCATTTTTCTTTCTTTTTTTATAAGAGATTAGAGTACAACAAAAGGTTTTGTCTCTTTGTATTCACAATGCAGCTAAAATAAAACTGAATTAATTATTTGGTCCGTTAACTATTCAGAATGGATATTGTACTTGTTCTGTGTCCTGAATTGAGGTTTAGGTCACCTAACAAAAAGTTTTCTTTTATGGTTTTGCAGATCATTTTTGCTGATGAATGCACAGAAGCGGAGGGTCGCCACTGGCACATGAAGCACTTCTGCTGCCTGGAGTGTGAAACCATCCTGGGCGGGCAGCGCTACATCATGAAGGACGGGAGGCCCTTCTGCTGTAACTGCTTCGAATCTCTCTACGCAGAATACTGCGAGACCTGTGGGGAGCACATCGGTAAAGAGGCCCTTCTTAGGCATTTTGTAACGTAAAAATCAAATGAGAGCCAATTTATAAGCCGATTTCACATTTCAAAAGTCTTGGGTTGTACAAGTAGTTTCTTTAGAGAACCAACGTGTTGCCTTCTCCCCCTTTCTAGGAGTTGACCACGCTCAGATGACCTACGACGGGCAGCACTGGCACGCCACGGAGACCTGCTTCTCCTGTGCTCAGTGCAAGACCTCCTTGCTTGGCTGCCCCTTCCTTCCGAAGCAAGGGCAGATTTATTGCTCAAAAACCTGCAGCCTGGGAGAAGATGTTCATGCCTCCGACTCGTCCGATTCTGCCTTTCAGTCTGCCCGATCCAGAGACTCCAGGAGGAGCGTCCGGATGGGAAAGAGCAGCCGCTCGGCCGACCAGTGCCGCCAGTCCCTGCTTTTGTCACCTGCTCTCAATTACAAATTTCCTGGTCTTTCAAGCAAAGCAGAGGACACTCTCTCTCGTAAGCTGGATGACTTGAGTCTTTCAAGGCAAGGGGCAGGCTTCGCTAACGAAGACTTCTGGAAAGGAAGGGTAGAGCAAGAAATGCCTGAAGACCCTGAAGAATGGGCTGAGCATGAAGACTACATGACCCAACTGCTCCTCAAGTTTGGGGATAAAAGCCTCTTCCAGCAGCCTGCCGAAGCGGACGTTCGGGCAGGCGAGCACTGGATTTCTGACAGCATGGTCAAGAGCAAGCTGGACTTGAAAAAAAATAACCCCAGCCTAGCAAGTAAAAAGTACCAGTCTGACATGTACTGGGCCCAGTCGCAGGATGGCTTGGGCGACTCTGCCTACGGCAGCCACCCGGGCCCTGGCAGCAGCAGGAAAATCCAGGAGCTGGACATGGAGCCTGGGGCTGCCGGGTATGTGCATGACCAGCCGGCGTGGTACGAGGGCTCCCTGGAGTGTCTGTCTGACCTGAAGCAGCAAGAACAAAGTGTCCGGGATTCAATGGATTCTTTGGCTTTGTCTAACATAACAGGTAACGGGAAAATCAAGCGGTGTTGATAGAGGTCAGAAAAGCATGGTGGGATGTATTGAATTCAGGTTTCTTGTATTTGTAATTTTTAAAAGGTCTTAGTAGCGAGCAATGTCTGTTAATGAAGAAGTGATAGCTTTTATCAAGCACATATTGTACTACAAAATAAATTCTGCTATTTAAATTAGGACAGTCCAACTCTTTCCATTGCTTATAATGAGCCCCCCATAATGTTAAACAGAAAAGAATGGTCTTGTGCTATGTTAGATATACAAACTACCACAAATAAGTTAAAAATTGTTTATGCTTTTGTTTATCAGTTTGATAAGTTAAATACAAAAAGTTGCATCAAATACTAGAATAATATTAAAGGCACTTTACAAAAGGCTTCAGATAACTGCCTGGTTTACCTGTAAAAACTAGGCAGAAAATCTGAGTCGATGGTAGCCTCCCAGCCATAGGAGAGAGCCTTAGGAGATTAGCTCTGCCCTTTGACTAGAGAGACACTGACAATCCACTTGTGTGAACCTCTCGTCAAACTTGATTGAAATTAGCCACAAGGATAAAAGTCAAACACGCAGTGCGCACTTCAGTGTGTGCCTCCCTGGTCCCTCCTCCTCCAGAAACACTGGAAATGGCTGGAATATAGAATGTGGCATTACTAGAATCATGAGATATTTTAGCCTTAAAAATGGCAAGCAAAGATTGTGGAATATATTAAAATAATGCTGCCTCTTAGAAGCATGTTTTTGTGTCTATTAGAGCAGCTTAAATGTTTTACACTCGTTTAGCTTCTTCGCCACTTGATGTCCCTACAGTTAGCTCGTTCTTTGGCTATCAATCAGAGCAAATACTTTAAGTCAAGTAAAAACATTTTTGGATTACTATAAGGCCTCTTTGTAATTAACACAAAACAAAACCCACTACTACTTATTCTTCCTTGCAGCTAATCCACTACGAATAGCTCTAAATCAGTAATAAGGCCTGTCGTAGCGGAAAGACATTTCTAATATTTTAGTCTACTAGTTCATTTCAGTGCTTCTCTCTCTGATTCGCTGCTCACTCTGGTGTTCTGCTTCCTCCTGCCACCACAGGGGCTTCGCTGGACGGGGAGAGCAAGTCCCGGCCGTCTCTCTACTCCTTGCAGACCTTTCAGGAGCTGGAGGGTGAGGACTGCGAGAAGATGAGCAACATGGGCACGCTGAACTCCTCAATGCTCCACCGCAGCACGGAGTCCTTGAAGAGCCTGAGCTCAGAGCTGTGCCAGGAGAAGGCGCTGCCAGAGGAGAAGCCAGTGCACCTGCCTGTGCTGAGGAGATCCAAATCCCAGTCCCGACCGCAGCAAGTGAAGTTTTCAGATGATGTTATTGATAATGGCAGTTACGAGAACGTGGAGATTAGGCAACCCCCAATGAGTGAGAGGACTCGGAGGCGGGTTTATCATTTTGAAGAGCGTGGAAGTCGGCCTCATCATCATCGCAGAAGAAGCAGGAAATCTCGCTCCGATAACGCACTTAACTTGGCCGCAGAGAGAAGGTGTTCTCCAAAGGAAAGGTTTCGTTTCTACTCTCCTCGGGATCATGAAAAATTCATTCAAAATAAAAGCTCCCGTGAGATTCAGGCATACATTCAGAATGGGGAGCTGTATGGTCAGTATGCCCATACCGCTTCTGATTATGCACTGCGAAATCGAATGGTTGACAGATTTTATGGATTATATGGTGACGAAGATGACTCTTGGTGCTCGACTTCATCCTCGTCATCTGATTCTGAAGAGGAAGGATATTTCTTAGGACAGCCCATTCCACAGCCACGGTCACTGAGATATCCATACTACACAGATGACCTTTCTAGTCCAACTACTGCGTTATCTAGTTCTCAGATTGGACAAAGGACAACCAAATCAAAGAAGAAGAGGGGACACAAAGGGAAAAATTGCATAATTTCTTAATTCATTTTAACTGTTGGGAAGACCAGGCAATTCTGTAGCTACAGTCTGAACCACGTCTTTTTATATTAATAATTGTACTTAGGCAAGTTGCTAAGGTTCTTAATGCTTTGCCAGTGTAAATTATAACCCCACCAGAGTTTACATTGTTAAAAATATCATTAAGAAATGTCACTCTGCCAAATGATGATCTGCTCAGATACTGCTAGGTTTCTAATATTGCGTTTCAGCTGTCCGAATTCTTCAGTGCAGTACACGGTGGCAGCTCTTGACACAGACATTTTGTAGACACTTGCTCTGTGCTCGCTGTTCACCTCTCTTGAGCTAATCTGACAGGAGAGATACACAAAGATCAATAAATAAAACTGTCTGTCCTCTCTGCCTCTCGCTTCACCCACCCAGGGGTCTTTGACTGTCCTTTTCTCACCATAAGAGCGAGGGCTCTGCCCTGCGCCTCTTCTCCCTTTGTGAAGTCCCTCTTCCTCCTCACAGTTTCTCTACAGGAACTGGAACTTACTTTGGGAAAATCCAAAACGATCCTCTCCTGAGGAGGCAGCAGTCAGAGATGGTGGTTGAAGTGCTCGAGGCCCTGGTATATCCTAAAGCAGCAGTAAGTGACTTGGGATCTTCACGGTTTCCCTTCCCCTTTAAGATTTCGAGCCCAGGGTAGGGCAAGGGCTTTGCCGGCTCAAGGAGACACTCATTCAGCGCTTTTAGAATTGAACCAAGTTAGCTGTGATGGCTCCAAGTCCAGCAGTAACAGCCCCCGCGGGGCAGCGATGCCTCCTGCGTCCTCTCCTCGTCCTCCTGCCGCATGTCGGCAGGGCCGGGGCCGCGGACGTGCGCGGGAGCCTCCGCCGAGGCCTGCGGCGCCGCCGCCCTCCGTGAAGCCGCCTCTGCCGCCCGCGTTCGCCCAAGGACTTACGGGATGAGGCTCCGAATCTGAAACGCATTGTCCAGGTTTTGGAATGTATTAATTAGCTGCAATCCTAAATGGAAAACATCGGTATTTATAATGTAGTATTTCATAGGCTAAAGTGTATTCATAATTTAACGGTGCAAATACTAATGTACATATTGTACAGTTAAAATTTTAAAAGTCAAGTATTTTTATATCCCTGAATTTGAAAAAAGTTTGCTACACGATCAAGCTAGATTGGTTAGGGGTTTAACAGCAGCATTATGGATGAAATATCACTTGTATTTTAGTCAGGGGTTTTAAGTATAAAAATGTTTTAAAATGTTTCGTGTAAAACATCTTAATTTTGTCTCCTAGGTATTAAAAGCTCTGTATGCATGGTGGGGCTATGTAAATACTCTCTGAACTATGGCCCTTTTAATCTTGCAACTGTTATTTATGGGTCAAGCAAAATGTAAACTACATAAATGTAAAACCACCCAAACATGGAATATACCCGTACAACAAGGCTGCAGCTCCCCTGGATGTGGTTGTCTCCTTATTCCCTCCCCTGCCCCAAGGGAGCGTCGCAGTGGGACCTACTTGAAGGGAGAGCGATGCCGGCGGCTCCTGCAATGCATGTGCAGCAAAAAGCTTTATAAAAAGTAGTAGGTGTAACCTCAGAAGCTGCTTCAGCAGGGGGAGCAGGACCTACGTTATTTAAAACATAAAGTTTATTATAATTTAAAGTGCAGAAATTTGTTACTTGAGTAAATAGTGACGTTTGCCAATAGGAGGAGTAAATGCTGAAGCTTTTTAATCACCTCATCAGCAGTAATTAATGAAATAACATGTTTCTTATAAGGAACCTCTGGCACCCATGCCTGTAATTGCCATTGTGTACTGAGGACAGTGTGTCCGTAGCTACAAGCAGCTGGAAGTTAGGGACGGACACGTGGACACCGCAGAAAACTCGCCCATACCTGGGCGTAGACCAAACCAGCAGTTCCTTGCTTGTATTTCTCAGGGAGAAACAAGAAAAAGTTCCTTTATGCGCAGAGATCGCAACCACGCCAGAAATAGCTTTTCCAGGACAAGTTTTTCCTACGTGGAAGCTGCTGCAAGGCCCTCCGTGCTGCTACGCACGCCTGGAGCCCGCGTGGTGGCCCTGGCAGACCCGGCTCCAGCTGGAGCCGGTGCCTCTCGTGCCTGTTGCACGGGGCAGACAGCGCCCACACGCCCTGGGGGGGTGACCATGGCCTCAAGCAGCGACCCCTGTGCCACCCCGTCCCATCCGTGTGTCCCAATTCGGCTGCCCAGGAGCCTCTGCCAGGTCCCTGTGGGAGCAAGCGCGGGGGTCGCTGCAGCTCTCAGGCCCTCCTCAGGTGCCTGCCGAAGCGGCTCATGGGCGAGCAGGGCCGCAGGGGCAGCGGAGCCTCCTCACAGCGCTGCCGGGTGGCCCCTTCCTCATCCCAAATGTGCACGTGAGAGCGACTCACGGCGGCGCGTCGGGGACAAGCTCTGCGCAGGGGTAATTCTCCCACTACTTCCACCTAGATCCCCAAACCTGAACTGAAAGACACTCCTCCCATGCCCCTGTGATTTGCGCAGCGGTGGCTGAACTAGTCCCGTTCTTTCCTCTCCTAGAGGAGAGTGTGCACGCGCCAGGCAGGCAGCAGGGCTCTCACTCCCTTCCCTTTTCCTTCCTCCTTCCCTTCTGCCGCAGTGGCAGCTTTGCCAGCTCCAGCTTCCATCTCCCACAGCAAGTCACTCCCGCGGCCTATGCTGGGCTTGGGACGTCCACTAGCTAAGTGACATGAGGAGCATTTGGAGAGTCATGTTTTACTGAGGAATACGCTGCTAGGCCAGAGTCATGTCAAGAAATGACTAGAAATACAGAACACCCGTTTCACTGTCAGCCTAAAGGTGCAGGCCGAAAGATGACCATACAACATTTTTTTTTTTTTTTTTTTTTCTCCCTTCAGCTTGACATAATAGATTTCTTCTACTTCATTGTCTTTTATTGGTTCTTTTGGAAAATGCTCCTAATCCATTATTTATTTTTAAAGATACAGGTAGATAAGGGATACAGCACCTCCTACCCGCACAGCAAGCAGATCTAGTCCCCTGTTCCAAGAGCAGCTTACACTCTCGCGGCAGTAACTAACTGAGGTGCCAGGGCCATCCCTTGCCCTCGTCAAAGGGCTGCACAGGCCCCAGAAGGGATATGAACCATGAACCGCCTTCACAGCTACAGCGATGCAAGTCACCCACTGAGATGTAATAAACAGGTCCATTTGGAGAAGCCCTCAAAGATGCCCCAGCATCAGCAACGAGTTTCCACGCTCCCTTCCTGCCCTTTCCTCTTCCCCTTTTTATTTATCGGCACATTTGTGAGTGCTGAAAGGTTTGTTTGCAAGAGATATTAAGGTAGCCAAGAATGCGAGTTGCTCCTTGTGCTTCTTGCCTCTTCTCCAGCACAGCCTCTGGTTCCTTCTACCTTTCCTGCCCCTTTCAGGAGCCCCGTCAAGGCTGTCCACAACTTTTTTGGATTTGTTTTCGTACCAATGCAAAGTGTAGGTCTGTTTCTAGAGGAAGCAAGAATAAAAGTCCTGTTTCTTGCTTTTAAAATAAGTGACTGGCGTAATACTTTACTCAAAGCAACACAAAGCATACACCGCAGAGGCTCAAGCATGAACATTTAACATAAGGACAAGCACGGAACAAGGAAAAACAGGAACATTATTACTCAAGAATGAGAACAGCATATTAGGCCTTTTATAGAAACAGCATCTAGAAAAAAATCAAGTCTCCTTAGTTTATCAGTAAAATTTAATCATTTTTTCTTAAATCAGATGAAGCTAAGAACAGCTTAACAGAAACTTCTGAAAGATCTTACTGACCTATCAGCTAATCTGAAAAAACAAACAAACAAGAACGTGACTGTTGTAAAGATCCTTTTAGAAGTCTGATTAAATTTCACTGTGGTAACAAAGGAGAATCCTAGCACAATGTACAGCCATAATGGACATTTTAAATCAAAAACATTAAACATGATTTTCTTTTCCTTAGCATTTTGAACCCAAAATGTTGATGCTGATGTTTCTAAGAGAGGTGAAGCAGTGTGAACCTGATGACTCTCCCCGCTGCATGCAGTGCCCGAAGCTCCTTCTTGGGAAGGCTCTGCGGCTGCTTTAGTGCCTGCTCTGAGCAAGGCCGCGTGGTTTCATGCCTGCTCGGAGGGAGCGCTGTCGCTGCCAGGTGGCCAGGGCAGGCCGAGGTGCCGCAGCAGGACAGGCTGGGCCAGGCCAGGCCGCCTCTGCGGCCCCGTTGGCTCAAGGCCTGCTCGGAGGGAGCGCTGTCGCTGCCAGGTGGCCAGGGCAGGCCGAGGTGCCGCAGCAGGACAGGCTGGGCCAGGCCAGGCCGCCTCTGCGGCCCTGTTGGCTCAAGGTGGCCGCGCGGGCGGGTTCCTCGGACTCCCAGCGCCCGTGAGGCGACGCGACGCGCGGGTCGCCCCGAGCACCGCGAGCAGCCACCCGACACCAGCACCACGGGCACCTCGGGAACCTGCGGCAAGGAATCCCCTCACAGGCCACACGGGCAGGCGGCAGCTGCTGGGACACACAGGGCCCTTGGGGACGCCAAGTCGCTGCCTTTCTGCAAAGCGTTCTGGTTTTGCCCTTGTGTTTACCTTTCTGCAAAGTGTTCTGAGGAGTCTGAAAAGCTCCTGGGTAAGGGGCTGAATTTGCTGACTTTTCCACTTAAAAATACTGTGCATTTTGGAATTGGTGACATTTAGCCCTTAGTCCTAATATAGAGAGTTTTGCATGTTTCAGTATAAGCGTTTAAAGCAAGCCATGCTTGTGCTTATCTCTCTGTGATTATGATTCAAATTCTGCCAGTTTCTGCACTGTTCAGAACCCAGAGCAGCACCTTACACCTGCACATAACGCAGCAGCCAGAGGAGTCCCACTAAGGCCCAGGTGCTTTCACCTCCGAGCACCCATCCTACGGGCCCCTCATAGCCATTATCCCAGCCTACCTGACACCCCAAATCCCTCCCCCTTGGGATGTAGCCCTGCAACTGTTAAAATTGACCCATAAAAGAGTGGTGAGAAGGGGGAAGGGGAGAGAGGGAGGTGCACGGGCCCAGACCTTCCCCCCTCCAGAGGCTGCTTGCAGCTACCACACTTAAGGGGTAGGTAAAATATTAGTCACAATTATTAACAAAAAGAAGGAACTCATCCTACATAATACTGCTAACTAATAATGACTCACAACCCAGGAAATACCAAAATCTGAAAGGCATTTGCAGAACCTGCAATTAAAAAGCAAAAATGTGTCACATCTCACACGGGGCAGGGGAAGGGGCTGCGGCAGTCAGGGTCTACAGGCAGAGCCCCTAGTGTCCCTTTACAAAATCAATCTGAGGTTTGAAATTAAAGTATAATAAATAATGCAAAACCATAATTGTGAACAATCTTGCAAGTTGTCCTACAGTATTATGAAAACATGACATAGTTTGAGTAAGCTGACAAATGAAGAGCTGTTTCTTGTTATTTTAATAAAAAATACCGTGCTTTTAGTTATACCTCTAAACACTGAAACACAAGTGTACATACATCAGCATGAATATTTTTTCCTAGGTAACTGTGTAAAAATTCCAAAAATAGTTTGTTGCTTTCCAGCATGATTAAAGAGAACGTCCTTGTCAAAGGAGTCAAACGTCACGAGTGGAGGTGGAGGGGACACAGCAGAGGGAACGCAGGAGCAGGGTACGGCCACCCTGAGGGCTCCCCTTGGGCTTCCTTGTGGCGCCGCCGCTGTGCCGGGTCCACACGCGGGTTTGTGTCTTTAATAGGGGCCCTCCTTGAAGGGTTCTGACAAGTCTTGATGGGTGGCATCGTACTGGGCGATAAAGAGTTTGAGTTCCTCAATGCAGCGCTCACCGATCTCGTGCAGGTTTTGCCGGAGGGCAAACTGAATGGACTTCTCCAAGGAAGGGTCTTTATCGATGAGCATCTTCACGACCATGCCGAAGGTTTCGCAGTCTTGTCTGTACACCTAGAAGGAACAAGTTAGATGATTAAATGCAAGACTCTGCATTAGTACACCAAGGGTCCTCGGCAAGCTGAAGAGCCCCTGCGGCACCAAAACCAAGCAATGAATACTGGATTAACCATGAGCGTCTACAGTAGGGCATATTTGTCCTTTCCCCTCTTCTGACCCACTCTAATACAAATATACATAGTTCAGAAATATCTGGATACAAGAAATAATTGTTTTTGGAAGAAATGTCTGAAAAAGACAATAAAGTGACTTCTTCTTGCAGCAGCGTTTAGTAAATAATGTTAAAGTAAAGCAGAAAGATGAAGGTAGATTCAGAGTGCGAGCACATACAGAATGACCCTGTGTGGGGCAGGCCCGGTGATGTTTATTCCCGGTAATGACAGCTAGCCAGGCAGTGCAGTCACTCAGGGCTGTCCCTCCCTGCAGGGACGGTGGCAGCGGGATCTGTGGCCCCGCTTCCATCTTGCAAAGGAGCAGTTGCTGCTCACCCCACACACAGCCCCTGGGAAGGACCTGCTCCCACCACAGCTCACCCCACACACAACATGGGTCCCACTACCATCGTCAGGCGGCTCCACAGCAAGTCAGTGGCCTTTTCTTGCAAGTTCCAGCTAAGCTCATCAATCCGAGCCCGCACCACAACAGGAATGTGTCAGATACTCTCCCCCTGCCAGACACGGTTCCTTTTCACATCCTTTTGCTCAATTTCCTTTTGGAAGACTGCAGGGTTCTTGTGCTAGAACTCGTGTTTTTTTACATAACACAGTCCTCCCACATTTATCTAAATTACAGACACAATATAAGCATATGTCATTAATTCCTTGTCAAGAAAAAAGTTCGGTTGTATTCATAGGGAAAAGCCAAGGGAGCTCAAGAATACTCATGCCAGGAGAACAGGAAAAAAAAAAAAGAAAAAAAAAAGCACTCTGCCCACTAATGTTCTCCAAAAAACATTAATTAATGCCTTTAAGAATGGCCATTTTGAAATGTTTGATGTCAAACATTTTACAGCTGTTTAAAACAAGCCTCATTTTTCAAACCCTAGCTGACAAATAAAAGAGAGCCTTTCGGGGGGAACTAATTTTCAAGAGAGATTAATAAGTCCAAAAGAAGAGAGCAAGCCAAAACAAAGTTGAGCTAAATAACCTACAAGAGAAGACAGCAAGTACATGCTATTTTTTTCTGATATTGGGTTCATTTTCTGCTTTGTAGATTTAGTTTTTTCCGCAGCAAAATAATAAGGAATGCAGACTCTCGCAGAGTTCATTTTTCACACCTAGTGAAATATGGCACTGAGAGGACTTCAAACAGAGCAAATTTTCTTTTCTTTTTTTTTTTTCAGATTCTTTCTAAGGTAAAAGTTCAGGGAAAACGCTGTCTCTGATTAGCCATACGACAGGTATTGGGGCTTGGAGGCCTCCCGCCTTCCAGGCGCTCGCAGCCAGCCTGAAAGCCCCTTCACAGAGTCGTTCCTGAGCGTCCAGCTTCCACGCGCGGAGCCGCGATGTTTCGGGTGCAGCAGTCCGAAACCTCCCTTTCCCGCTCGCACGGGTCTCTGTTCCGCCACGTCTGAGGCGCTCACGTCACGAGCGGACGCCCCCCGCAGCTGAACGCGCCCGGCGTGGGCGGCCCCACACGAGGGAAGCGCCGGCGCTACCAGCGACCCCGGCCGCCCGGCTCTGCCTCTGGCAACGCGGAGGCTCCCAGGGGGTCTGGCAGAAGGCAGCGTCTGCCTTTAACAGCGCTTCAAAGCAGGACAAGTAGCACTATTGCCTATTTATCCCACACATGCCACAGGGAGCTGACACAGGTATAATTCTTTGATCCTTACATGTAAATATTAGCCTAATCCAGGTAACAATTCTGTGTTTTTTTTCTCCCCCAAAATGTCCACAACAGGAGACTCAAAGGAGAATCAAGACAGCCATCGTTATTGTCGTCATCATCATATCTGGAGACAGAGAAGTCATGTAATGACATAACAAACTGCAAACTGCAGCTGTATTAGTTTTTTTGTGGCAGAAGACCTCTTAAAAAACAACAGCAAAGATGGTATACCCAAAATAAGGGAAAAGGGCAGGAAGGAAAATCTAGCAAGAGAAAACACAGGAAATGTGACCCTGTTCCACGTGCTCTAGGTGTCCCTGCTGGAGCTGGAGGTTGGACTAGATGATCTCCGGAGGTCCCTTCCCACCTCAGCCATTCTGTGAGTCCAACTCCTGTACCAACAAGCATGTGAATAATGTTCTTTCAACTAATTTTCTATCCTGGCTGCTAATTCTGACCCTCCTCCCGCCCCTGCCTCCTCCCAAGCTGTGCTGATAAACCCACTGCTAGAGCTGCCACAGCGATTGCATCACTGAAAGAAGTCCTATTTAAATCGCCCATGATTAATGCAAGTTTAATGATTGAATTCTAAAAACAGACTCATCAGCACAACTGACAGAACTGAGACCTGCAGTGAGGTGCAGACAGGAGCTTCACAAACCAGTTTCTCCCTGGAGCCAGCGAATGACACAAGCAGCCCCCAGAGACGAGCAGACGTGTCAACCACAGGCGGCAGCACCGCGGCTGCTCGGCGCACACAGCTATTTGCCAAGCATGCAAAAGCACTCAAAGCTCTTGCAAAAGAAGATGGTGGCCTTAGATACTAAAATCCACCTTCTCTGCAGAGGAGGCGGCAGCTATTTCTGGGAAATAGGCCGAGAATGTGAAGTTCGAGGAAAAGGGAAGGGCATCAAAGACTTTGAACAAGCCAAGTCACTTGCTAAAAACCAACTCTTTGTTGTAGGAGAGGAGTGGAGGAACTTGTGACCCACTGTTTCAAAGCAGCCATATCCTTAAAATTCCAACAGATATTGATTTTGAGCCCAGACCACGGAAAACTCATCTGTAAACATCTGGGATTCAACACTGAAAATGATTCCATGTGTGAGGAAAGAAGAAATAATATTTCAGTACTGAAAGACAAGAAAGGGAATGATACCAACAGCATGGTTATTCTGTCTGATACACATGTCAGGTAATCCTAAAAACATCTAAAGCCACAGGGTGATCATTTACTGAGGCCACAACATGTTTTTATTCTCTGATCTAAGCTACAGCACAAGCATAATGGAAAAAACGTGGAGCACTTTTAACAAGCAGATGAAGGAGGTGCAGCAACAGTTGTTCTATTGAAAAACAAAAATTTTAAGTTGATTTACCTATGAAAATGTGCATAAACTAAACTCAAGTTCTCTTTGAAAAGATATTCAAAGTCAGCAAGGCTGGCACCCTTGAGCTCTGAGGATCACAAATATGACTATCATTCATTATTTTAAGGCATTTTTTTAAGGCATTTACACACTAGAAGCCTAGAGGCTCCATTTGAGATTAATACTCCAGTATGCTGCTCTCTGTAAAAGTACTTGTGTATAGACCCAAATCCAAGGGTGTGACGAAGGAACATGTGAGTTAACACTCCTCATATATGTAAGTAAACCAAGAGTTGCACAGCTAGAACTTTTTAAATATAGGTAAAGGCCTGGCCAGACGTTTGCTCACAGATCCCACTGGAACAATAAGGAATGTTACTGCCCACACGCTGGATGGAGGGGATCAAGCACTAGAACTGAGCAGGCAAAACTGCACTTTTGGGAACTCTCCTTACCCTGAGTTTGATCATATGTTTGAACCCTGTGCATGGATGAAATCGCACTCAGCTAGGGAGCACCTTGGTGACATCCTTACCACTCTACACCATTTCCCTTCCCTGCCTAGCACAGCCTGATGCTCTTTTCCGAACTTGTTCTGGAACTGTTTGTACATTTTAAACAACATAGCTGCTGGGTAACATACATGAACAGTAGCGAGAGAGGAAGAAACCAGAATTTAAGGCTTCCTTCCTTACAGGAGACTATAGCCCACAGAAGAACAGAGCCAGAAACTGTCTTTTTGGTCTCAAAAGTCTTGCATTTCTGTCTGAAAAGCAGCTTAATTTTAATAGGATAAGTAGACACAGTATGCTATGGAGATGAGGCCTGGAAAAATGAGGAAGCTAGAGAAGAGGTATTCACAAACCTAACTGCAGTCCATGGCAGCTTCTCTCTACAGTCTATGCAAAGAAAGGCTTTTCCACTTTGAGATGATTCAGAACAGCTAAAACCACAGCTTGGGCTCTAAGTAGCCTCTGGGGAAGGTGGAAAACAAGAGAAGTTCCTTGACTATTAGGAGGACCCACAGGAAGACACAGCTTTCTGAGGGCTGAAGCACTAAGCCTCAGGGTCTCCTGCATCTACAGCTCCTGGACAAGTAGAGCTGAGCAGGATGTGGGAGATAATCCTTTCTGTGAGGAAGAGGAAAAATCTGCAATTCAACCTCCATCTCTCATTTCTGGGGGAATTGTCTTCATGCATGTGCCCTAAACAAAAGCTAATATCATGACTGCCTCCTCCAGCTATGAGTTTGATTGAACATGACTTGAACTCATTGCTCTCTGTACACACATAGGCACCTTCCTGAGTGGGAATTGTCAAGGGACTCAAGCATGCAGGTTCGTTTGCACGCCAAGGCCCCAGACCCACAAGGTTCAGTTCTCAAGGGGGAGGAAGGGCTGGTGCTGTGGCTGGGGCACCATGTTGAAGGGCCTGCAACCTCAGAACCCAACTCAGTGCTACCAAGATTCAGCATGCCCAGCCATGGCAATCTTGGGCCTGAGATGTAAGCAGTCATGCAGTTTTTTATCCTCAGAAGAAAGATCCTTTCAGTTATGAATGGGCACCTTTCCCACAGGTATCGGATCTTCCACACAAGGAAGAGAGAAGCAATATGCTCCCTAATGATGATTTGACTTCTGACAAAGGCTTGAACACGTAGAGAGCAGGTCTGAGTGCCCCACCACAGCCCTGGAGACACAGCTAATGAAAGGGCAACTAGCCCCAAACAGTTCTCGCCTCAGCGAGGCCTTGGGGCTCCTCTGTGCTCACCAGAGCTCTGGTTCCTCGCGGCGCCAG